GGTCTGATTCGTCTTAGCCATTGGATCGCACTATTTTCATGATCTGACGGCTCAGATTGAACCATGAAGTGAAGTGTCCATTCATCATGTCTATTCACCAATTTCTGAACAGTCACAGCCATGCGGATGCCACGCGTACATCTAACCGCCACGCAAGACGAAGGGACGCGACCTACCATACGTGCGCCACCTAGAATGCCAAATCACCGAGCCTTGCGCTGCCACGTCATCGAACCACGAGTCCATTTTCGAAAACTATAAGGCTTCCCAGCTCCTTGCCACGATGCGTACGTGCGAAGTGCCAAGTGCACCTCTAAAGCGCCCAATGCGTACTTTGCGACGTGCGCGTGCCGAGATCGGGGCCGGGACCGGGTCCGGGGAGCGGTGCGAGTGGTGCGAAGCACCACTCTAGTGGTGACTAGCCTTTGGCTAGCTAAAGTTAGCCAAGTGGTAGGTAACTTATTAAATTATATATTATTCACACAACCCACTATATAAACAAGATTATTTTCTTGTAAACTTTCAATGTGGGACTCCTTTCCATATAAAAAACACTTAAAATGGGCTTATCAACATATGGGCCTATATTAGAGACTTTTCCAATTCACCCAAATTAATTGCAATGGCCCACATCATTAAATATTACATTTAATATTTTAAACCCAATCAAATTCAATTAATTCCAACAGTTGTAGCAATGGAGAGGAGAGTTGAGAGAAGAGAGCCAGCCGAGAGAGAGAGGGAAGTCATGTGAGGTTGTGAGTGAGATTTAATCATTGTGATATCTTCTTCTTCCTCTCCATATCTTTGTGGATTGCTAATACCACCACCCTTCTCTGGGGTTTGAGAGAGTTTGTGCAGTCTAAAGTGAAGGCGAAAGTCTCGGGTCGAGTCAAGGTAAACCGGTGTTCGTTTAATTATTTTCTGAGCCCGGAATCAAGATTTATCGAGGGATTGGAAGCCCAACAGAGGACCCAGTTATCCCTAATCTCCCTTTCAGATCTATTAGTCCTGTCATGCATGAGGAACAGATCTTGCATTTTTCTTCAGGGTTAAGGAATATACCTGGCAGTTTTATGGAATGTATTTGGAGGAAAGTTTTTCATCTTCTTTGTTTTATGAGTTCAAGAGCAACAAAACTAAGTTTTTTGAGCTTAGAGAGATTGCCGGTCATGTTGCTGAGTTCATGCATATAATTCAGCAAAGGACTTTCGACTTTATTTTGCCCAACTATAAAAACTTACAAAAGTTTATTTTGAAACTTTTCTTTGCAGTGTGGTCAGGTATGGAAATCAGTTTATCCAACAATAACTTGAAACAGCCAGTGCACAAGAGAAGAACATGGTCTTCCATGAAATTATGCCCCACAGACTTTCCCTGATGACTGATGTGTTCCGTAACTATGTGACCAGAAGGTGTGAAATTTAAGACTCTCATATCTGATATTCTATTCATATTTTGAGATATTCATGTGTTGTAATGTATCTGTATACATTAATTGGCATGACATGAGAGTTCATCATATTTTCCGGTTCTTGTTCTTTTTTCAGCTTTTTGAACATGGAAGTGCATCCCAGATTAGACAATTGACTGAGCATCTAACTGGGTATGTAGCCTCCAAATGTGTGGTTGCCGAGTAATCCAGAAGTTAATTTAAATCTTGCATCGAACTTATGATGTCTATAACGTGTGTTGTAAGTGTGCAAAATCCTGTCTCTATTCTCTGTCTTGTACACTTCACATCCATAGTCGATAATTTATATGCTGTATTTTATTGTGGAAATTCTGGGAGTCATCGAGGTGCGTCTAAACCCTGCATTTTGCACTTCTTAACTTTCTGGAATTAGTGGTTCTTACATAGTGACCAATGACATACATTCAATGTCTATGGTTAGCTATGTATCAATTTATAGGAGAATCATATGTTAGTCCAATTACCTGAAGAATGCTACTAATTTATACGTATTCTAAAACGTTTCCGCTTTAGTATTTTCTCATTATTTTACTTTTATTTTTATTATATTTAGTCATGGAGTAGCCTGAGTAGAGCTGTGAGAAAATGGGTGTAAGAATAGCTAGCATACAAGTATCACCATACCTGGACAATCATAAATATATCTGCTTTATAAAGTTTTAGGCGGTGTGTCAATTTTGATATTTGGCCTTTTGGTCTTAAAGCAGGTTTTCATACCAAACTTCTTCTTTTTCTTGGTTGAGTCATATGCTAATCAAGATTAAACTGTAGAATGTGAAATTGCTTCTTTTAGCATGTGAAAAATGTTATTGCATTTAATAGTATGCACGTAATAGTATACAAAGATGTAACAGAGTCCTTGATGCTTGATGGATTTGGCTTATCTTTTAAAATATCAAGGCTACTGAAATTATTGAGTTGGACAAGCAGACTAGAATTGTTGCAGAGCTTGATGGTCATGTAATGCTCTGTGTACGCGATCAGAATGGGAATCATGTCATACTATAAAATGTATTGAATGTGTTACTGAAAGTGTCATTGAGTTTATTGTTACAACATTTTACTATCAAATTGTGACAAGGTCCACTCATCCATATGGCTGTTGTGTGGTACAGGTAAAGAAACTAGCTGCAATATATACTATTGACGTGTTTGGTGAACGCCTATGAACATGATTGTATGATACAACGGTCAAAATTTTAACTATCTTTTTTTAAACATTATCCAGTCTATCTTACCAAATATGTCATATAGGTTTATAATTTGGAATACCAATGGAAAGATTTGTTTACTTCCATTATAACTTGGTCTTTTTTCCAAGAGTCCTGGAGCACTGCCACAAACCCCAAACACAGATCATAGTGATGGACGAGATTTTATAATCTGTTTGCATGTTTGCAATATCTCCAGGAAGCTTGTGTCATGAAATATGTTTTCTTGGAAGTGTGAAGTTTAAGGGACAATGTACGTTTAAATAATCCAGTTGTCTTTCTATATCATCTTGGTACCTGACAAGCTTTTATCCGTATTGGAGCCAGTCTTATTTCTTGATTTGTAGCATTTGTTAAACCTATTCATTCGATGTTGCCATGTATTATATCAGCATGTACTGGAACACGGGAATCCACAGGAGCGATCAGCTATAATTAATCATTAAATTGAGCAGATTGTTCCAATGAGCCAGCAAAAGTATGCGTCAAATGTTGTAGAGAAATGCTTATCGTTTGGAACTCCTGGAGAACGTCAGACTCTGGTAAATGAGATTCTTGGCAGCACTGATGAAAATGAGCCGCATCAAGTTATTTAGGTGATTTATCAATGATAAACTATAGCATAAGTCCAGATTTATTTAGATGCTTTTTTTATCCTGAACATGAATTAATTCTTCTCCTCCTTTATCTTTCAAGGTTTGAATCTCTTTTGGCTTCCACTTCTAATTGGTTATACATGATTTTTTTTTTCTACTTGATCTTTGAAACTTTGTCCACCTTCATTTGAATGGCTGCGTTCTCTTTTTCTTGTTTTCGTAAGGATTTCAGCCGTAAAATTGATTGTGAATAAATAATATTCCATCTGAATGATTATATTTATTTATTTATTGGAGAGGGTGGGGAGTGTTTGCTTGCTGCAGGGGTAAGGATGGGGTATATTGGCGAGAGGAACATTCACATACTTTATTATGATATCTTATCACTTAGTCACGGTTTTAAAAATTGATGTTTTTTTCGAAATACTTGCTGTGAAGGGGACATATTCTTGTTGGAATCAGGTAATGATGAATGATCAGTTTGCAAACTACGTTGTACAAAAGATGCTGGATACTTGTGATGATCAGCAACTTGATCTGATCCTTAACCGAATGAGGGTTCATTTAGGTGCTCTCTAGAAGTATATGTATGGAAAGCATATTGTTGCCTGTTTAGTGAGACTTGCTGCTACTGGAGGTATCCTTCTACTCTTGCTGCCTGCTAATACACTAGAAGAATCATCCTCATTGTACTAATTTCTGCTAAAATTCACTGTTTTTGCTGTATTTATTAATTTCAAAATGTTGAAATATCATCAAGCTCACAGGATCAATTTGTAATGACAAGCTAGGAAGCAAAGTCAATATAGTTTTGATGCTTCCCCTCTTCTTGATAAAACATAGTTTTTGATATTGGAAATGTTTATTTGCATCTCTTGCAGAAAAGAGGATCGGCATCCAGACTTCATCTTCTGCTTGAATTCATAGGGACTGAAAGTGTACAGCTAACCGAGACTAGTGAGAGTCGTGTTTCGTTTTCATGTCAGACTTTGATTCCTTCCATGTTTCAGCTGGATTGAGCTAATTTAAAATATATCATGTTGGTTGTACCTAAAGTTGTAAATTGTTAGATCAAGGATATAACTAGAATCAGATTAGTAAAGTTCTGGTGGTGAACATACCTGATGTCCCTTCAAAGGAGATAGGAATTACTGTACAAGTTGAGGGTGCTAGGAGGAGGAAAGTGTAATGTAATGATGCTTACTGTAATTTCTTCTAATGTGTGTGGATAGATAATTTACTTCTTTTCTGCTTCTTTAAATAGAATAATTTATCTTCCCTAATATGTACCTTAAGCGTCAAACAAGCGTAAAGTTCAAATGAGCAATTCAATTTGTTCAGATTTCAAGACCGGTGTTAGTCTTTGCAAATCTTGTTTTATGTTCATCTTTCAGTGATAATGGATTCTTATTGCTTATAACAAAAAATAAACATTTTTTTCGATAAATTTGGAGCTGACTAAATCATTTTTTGTGACTCCATTACGTGCTTAAATCCCAAAATTGATGTTCTATCAAAATCATTGACCACCAAATTATCGTTAGATATATCCATAGCTATTAAAATTCTGTGTCAAGCAAATCCTGAGCCATAAGATTAAACATCAAAGCAAGAATTTGTCAATTGAAATTGAAGTATGCTTCAATGAAACAAAAGTGAAGTAAAAAACAGTGCTAATCACAAGTTCAAGCCCAAGAAGAGGTAATTTCTCCGACAATCTTTGCCATAAATGAACCAGATTACGAAATCAACACTTTATAAACATCAAAGGCACGTTAGGTACATAGAATTAGGAAGGACCGAACAATACAATACAAGAGATTTTAATCTCTTTTTCTTCCTTTAAACTTTCGAGTACTGTTCAATCTACCTTTATCCGTTAATTGGGAGGGCAGAAGGTGACAACATATTGCTGTGCTCTACATTTCTTAAGTCCAGTCGACTCATCATACGGATAGCTATAAGCCCGGGGACAAATGGCCTTAAATAGATGCGCGAAAGCTGTAGGCTTGCAAGTGTTCGGATTGGCAAATTCCCCTGTACAACAGTATTTAGCTTCCCCGGTGGCCAAACAGGCACTCCGGCATCCCACCACCTTCCCTTCTTTCGTCACCACCAAATTTGATGGGCAACAAACGTTCACATCAGCCTCACACGCTGCCACGCCGCACCCGACGCCACCACCTATCGGGATCATCGAGACGGGAAGGTTAAAACCGTCGACTAAACTCACGTCATAGTAATGTATTGGATTTGTTGGGGTTCCTAGAGTCATTTCTACAACTGTAGCAGGAGGTACTCCGCCAGTGCCCATGCAATGTAGTTTCCCCGCGCAATCGCCTGTTTGGCATGAGCCTCTACCGTTTTTGTCGAAACAGCAGCCCCTTCTACCCCATAATCTTCCCGACCACCTTTCGGGGACGTCGAGGATGACTTGTTCGCCGGAGTAGAGATGAAAACCGCCATCTCGAAGAGTTTGGTGGCCAGCGGTGGCAAGAACTCCAGGCCATATATGCTCCTTGCAGTTGTTCACTACAATCAGTTGGGTTCCATCTGCAAGCAGAAACAATTAGAAAATCTCAAAACATGACAGGAAAATTGGTTTCTTTCAAGAAGAATACAGATAAAAGAGCAAAGCAAATAGTTTCTATGTCCCAACTGATCATTATGTACATTCCACACACACACACAGAACCTGAAGAATAGAAAACAGTGCACAAATAGAGGAAGAATAGATGCAAAAACGTTGGCATTATGAAGATGGAAATAGGGGTTAAGGGAATGAGGTTGCAGCGTTTTGCAGTAGGAGAGGTTAAATAGAGCTTAGGATGGGTGTAGACATGGAGAAGAGGATGATTTGTAAAGGGGAGGGCGATCACAATCCATTTTTGCCATGTCCCACTTTTCTAGGAGACACGATTTACACTGGAGAGAGATAATTATAACTGCCCGTTTCTTGTGGTTCAATCCTACTACCATACAAGCTCCTAGGAAGCCAGCTCATATCAATAAGAGGGGTTCGAAAGAAAGCGTAAAAATTCTTGTGACCCGCTCGAACTCCGAAGTTATGTGTACTTAGATGAGACGTACAGTAAAACCCAATATGAATCTTTGTATTACAAGTCTTGAGTCCGTGTTACCTAATTCTATCGTTTGGACTTTTTTGTTCGAAAAATCAATCATTTAGAGGAGATTTAGCCCTCGTTTGCCCTCATTATTTGAATTTATAATGGGGGAATATTTTTTTTTTTTTTAAGATTGTGTGGTTAAAAGTAGAAGAGAGAAAAAATTAAATTAAATTGAAGAGTTTTAAAGGGGGCCAAACGGGGCCTTAAAACTTTAAGGGTGAATTTGATTACGAATATAAAATTTACTTGGAGAGAATGAATTATAGGCAATTCAATTGTCTAAAACTTATTTGTATAAAAATTATTAATTAAATGTGTTTTATTGATTTAATTTTTGACGTAGAAAATATTATACTTGACCACTTTTTATTGGTGGCTGGATGAGAGAAAATGAATTATCTAAAAAATAAAAAGCACCCCTTCCTAAAGAAAATATTTTCCTTATGTTTTAGGAAAATATGGTCATATGACCAAGAATTTTAAAAAAATTATTAATCAAACATTTCAAAAGTAAGAATTTGAATGGAAAAAAAAACATTTTTCATAGAAATAAAGTCAATCAAACACGTTCTAAATAAAAATAGAAAGGAACAATAAGTAATAACATGTTAAATTAACGAATTCAATATAAATGGGCTCGTTTTGATCGTTAAGAGTAGATAAATTGTCTCGCTTTGACCGTTTTCACTATCTTTATTTCTATCTCATCGTATCAGAATTTGTTATGTTCGAAATTTGAAAATCAATGTCAATATCTCGGTGTAGGTCCAAGATAATCCTTTGTTCCATAGCTCTTGGCTATTTACAACTAGCCAATTAAGTATTTTCAGATGTACAAGCACTGCATCTTTGATACAATCATCGATTCTCTCAAGAGTTCATAATTGCCACAATCGAACATAAATTGCAAATCTTTTTGATTGTTTACCCTTTAATTCCATCGTAAGAGTTGCATTGTACAAAGGGGCAATAACATAGCAACCAAAAGCAAATCACATTGTACAAAGGGGCAATAACGTAGCAACCAAAAGCAAATCAAACTCCGGAGTCCACCTAGCAATGATTCAACGCAATTGTAAAGTTATGCAATTAAGGAATAAATGGATACAGAAAGTGAATACCAATAGGTTTTGGCGTACACTACTTTTCGAAAAGGCGTTGGAGCCATCATCTTATTGGGAATATTAATAAAAGACTTTGCATAAATTAAGGTCCTAGTCCAACTATTTTCTTATTTAAATTACATTAATTTATCTTTTTTATCGTCAATGTCACGTAGAGCACTCTTGGTATTGATGTGGACCAATCTATTTTGAGTAATTCTTTTCAACACCACTAGTGTTATAATACTGATCTAATTGGCAATAAATGATACATATAATTAATGTATTACATAATTAAGCCTGTCACATTATGATACTTATATTCATTTATCTTTTGAGCAATAATCATGTAGGCAAAAAGCTATCTCCTCCGTATTGGTCGATAAAAAGCAACCACTCTTGGTATTGGCCTATAAAAAGCAAAAGTAAAATTTTATTGTATCTTTTCTCCTTAAAAAAATAATAATAAGAAAAAATAAAAAATTGCTTAAAAGGCCAAACTTTTCTCACCTAAGCTATCTTCAAATTTTATTCCTTACACTACCAAATGTCTTTCGTACAAGCCAATATTGGCAGAGGACAAAGAGCAACTTTGACCTATGACTTACCAATACCAGGATCATTATAAGTTTGAAGCCATGTTCTGTAGATCTTCCAATACCATTGAGAAGGCAGAGCTCTCTTTCCATCCCAAACCCTTAACCCAACTCAAATTATGGACTAGACTTAAATTGTACGCATTAAACTCTGACGAAGTAATTCCCTTTTGGTCGCAGGCGCCCCTATGGTGAGGGGGACTGTACACCGAGGTGTCAAACCTTGTGTACAAATAGCAAAACCCCATATAAGTACATTATTTAAGTCTAAGAAGCCATCAAACTTTTCGATTATTTTACATAAAATCACTTACATAATTTTACAATAAGTGATGATGAGGAATCTATGTGCATTGGAGATCTGCTAATACCCAAGTGATTAGATTTTCTATTTTGCTCGCGATGTACATTGAACATCATTAACTGTGAGCAATAAATACACATAGAAAACATGGAATTAACCTTTAAATCCAAAAGGAAAAAATGGCTTGACATTCTATAGTGCTTCATGGGTGTAGATCTCGAAAGTCCAATGCACCTAAATATCAAACCAAGTTTCCTCGTCAGATACCACATTGACCAACGGCAAAGCACAAAACATGCAAAAAATGAACTTCATATAGCACCAACAGTTGAGATCATTCAAGTTTAATAAATACTTCTCCTACAGAATAATACCCAAAAAAAGTTACAAGACAAATCCCACTATCTTCAGCAATCCCCATTATGTGCATCCTAACTTATTTGTCCATAGAAAAGTATAGACGATGATAACAAGGAATTCTTACCAAAACCCAACAGTTAACCGAGCCATCAGAAATTCCTATAATGTAACCATAACAATTATTTCGAACAATGATCAGAAGATAGCGTGTGTTTAACAAGTTAAAAGTGAAAGTTCAAGACAAATTTTAACCTAGAAGAAGAACAAAAATATAAGATGTGTTCAAATAATGTCCAGCTAGAAAACTATCTAGCCAGGATGCATAAAAGTATAGATATTAGGGAGAAAATTGACTACTTTTTCAATAAAGTCAACTAAAGACGATCATATTCCAATAATCAACAGAAAATCAGTACTACTTTGATATCATCAATGTCTAAAAGTAGGATCAAACGGGTACAAAAGTGTGTTACCACTGAGGCAAAGGGTAAGCCTTAACACAAACCAATAAAATCATTCAAAACAACGGAAAAATACAAAAATATGTTCATAATAATCTATAAAATTATCTGCAAATCTATAATAAACAAAATTTAAAAGTGTAACTTGCAAACAACATAAAATGTAAATCAATAATGAAATTAATAAGTTTAAAATGTAGTAAACATTTATGAAATATTTTAATATAATACCAGAAGTAGAAATTGCCAATATCATCAATACTAATACAATTTTTAAGGAAATCCTCAAAACATAATTGATTTATCATCCTACTCCTCATTATGTGTGTCTTCGTATTCTTTGTTATCATTATTCACTTGTAACTGTGGCTTCACCTTCCCCTTCCATGTGAAGGCAAAAAATAATAATAATAATAATAAAACATTTAGCCCACAAAACACAAAAAGGAAAAATAGCTTAAAAAGCTGAGGCCAATAATTAATACCCCAAAAAATGGCAAGACAATGGAGCACACTACAGCAGCCCTGATGCTTCAAATAGCTAAAAAGGTCCAAAGCCAACAATAAAAGCACAAAAAGGCTAGAAAAACAAGCGCCCACCATAAACGTTCTAAGGCTTAGTCTTAAGATGTAAGACTAAATAAATAGAGGTGTAAACCTTGACAAATGGCACACAAGGCATAAGCTCTAGAGTTGCTTAATGGAAGTCTCACGTGGGGTTGGGTAGCACAAGCCTCAGACAAGTTTCTAAAGCAATGATATCAATAACATGCTCAAGAGAAAATTTAAAGACCTTACAGACACACAGATACTCTTACAGTGTTTGCAACATGGAAGAGTGACAGGGAACTGAAGGGAGTTAAGGAAATGTGATAGATCAGAAGTGTTAACCTTCTCATTGCAATGTGTGTGATTACTCTCAAAAATCTAATGCATCCAAAATTTCAACCACATTCCATCATACAATATCACATTAGAGATGTGTGCAACAAATATGTAAACAATAAATTTCAAAGATATGTAACAGCTAATATCCTTCACAGTTTAAAGAATAAATTCCCAGCACAATTATACTAAAAAATGAAAAGACAAATCACATTATCATATAGTCAATTCATTTTGAGTTATGGAACAGCTTTCCCACTATCTTCTGCAATCCCCATTATGCATATCCTAATCAATTAGTCAATAGAAAGGGTATAAATGAGTTCAACAAGGAACTATTACCAAAATCCAAATGCTAATTAAGCTATAAGAGATTCCTTGAATGAAACCAAGGCCCATGCAAATATGTAGCACAGTTCCAAACTTAAATTTCAATCAACGACCAAGAAGTAGCACACATTTCACATAAGCTAAAATTGGAAATTCAGAACAGATCTTAAGCTAAAAGAAAATAAAAATAGAAAATAAGAACGTTCCGACCATGTGCAGCAAGAAAAATATCCGGCTAGCATGCATAAATTTGGAGATATTTGGGGGTGATCAAACGAGCATCTTTAGAATGCACTCTTTGTAAACTACCTCCCCACAAGAGCAATAAAACAAGTACAGTCATTTTCGTAAACCTAAATATAGAAAATCAGTACTAATTTGATATCCATAACAAGTGCATGTAGAAAATCTAAACAACCATATACAAAGCCAATCTTTCAATTGGGATGATAAGATAATCATGTCATCTCAATTTTGTGTCACTAATATTTCTAGCCCAAAATAAATCTTTGTCATCAACCAAGAGAGGCCCAAGTCTAACCTTAATGCTCATTTACTTTAAAAGCATGTCTACAGCTACATGTTGACAATCCCCAAATTGTCCTATTCAAGTGATAATATGACATCCCAGAGCACCGAGAAAGAAAACAAATAGTTAGTTATACATTCAAGAGGGTGAAACCAATGGAGTTGAACCTGAATAATATATACATTGGGATAAGGACGTTCTTTCTTCTATAGCCAACAGAAACCATGACAAAAAGAAATAAAATCAAAACAAACTAAGTCGCATTTGACTATTCTAGACTAATTGCCTGCACGCCTATCTAAAGAAATATTATTCCTTATCTAATATCATTAAACAAGTAAATAGGACTAATTTCTGCCTTTTTTTTTTTATTGAGAATTTGCGTGACTGCATAAAATTTCGTAGTCCCTAAACAAGGTTGAACCTGAAACTTAAAATACTTCAGATGCTATCTCATATGGCAGCATATTCAATCACTATAATGATGAAATCAAATGATAAAAATTTAAAATTCCATAATTCAATTTTTATATGATTTAACTGCAAACAAGGAAGTTCAACAAAAGAACACTTCTAGGAAAAACATCATATTAGAATTTATTTAAACTTGCTATTCTTACAAACCAATGAAGAACATATTGATTTCTACCAACGTGCAACACAACAATGAAATGTATACATAGAGCTGAGCATTAAAGACTGTATATAATAACTCTCCATGGCACACCTGATGAATGAGCTTATACAGAGACTAGACCATCAGATTGCATATTGTGGTGATGCCCTGGAAGCCATACTAGCAACCTGAGCCTGCATCTGAACAGCCCTGACTTTCGAAGCTGTGGCTCGATGAAAAAACTGCTCCCGTGACAAGAGCCTCACATTCCTCAAGTAGTGATCAAATGGTATCGCCCCTTCTTGGGCCGCTTTATCTAGTGCATAAATCACGTCCTCCACAGCCAAATCAGATGCTGTGCAATCCAGCATCTGTTTTGAAAGGGCATCGCAAGGCTCTAATGCGTCGTCCACATCCAAGCCATTAATTTCCTTTTTCCCCATTTTCTCTTCATTCTCCCTCAACCATCCTTCCAAAACATCAGAATTCATCAAAACCATCTGCAATTGCTGCTCCAAACCTTCCTTTTCATCCTGCATTTCTTTCAATCCTTTTGCTAACTCCTCCTCACGCTTCCTCAATACTGCTTGTGCACTAAACAATCCTTCCATTTCTGCCTCCCTTGTCTTCCTCAACTCCCTAATATCGCCATTCAAGCTCTCCACAAGCTTATTTATAGCATTTTTCTTAAAAACCTCAGCCGGATCCTCCATTATCCTTCCTGACCCATAAGCACTCCCACTCCCATAAGGTGGAGTTGGAGTAGGTGAAGGCGAATAGACCCTAGGAGGAATTGCTGGCCGTGCCGCAGCAGACCCCACAGACGAATTTACACTGGACAAGTTATTACTAGCATAATTAGGACTAGGATTAGGGTTTGAGTGCTTGCGTTGCGAATAAAGGGGCGGATCTCGGCCAAAAAAGTGACTCAAATTCCGAGCCAGTTCAACAAGATTAGAACTTGGGTAAACCCAATTCTGAATATACGGAATTGAAACCACACCATTGGGTGAAACAAAAGCGTGGGGGCGTTTGATGATCATATCCCGGGTGGGGTTGACAAAAACTAGCGGCGCGTGGCGGGGGTATGACTCCATGAGCCAGATCGCAACCGGAATGTTGTAAGTAACACCTTGGAAGAGCATCGGCACCGTTCCATCGGCCTGAAGAAGATTAACCGTGCGGCCGTCGTTGTGCGTAAACGTGGCGGTCTTCGGCTGCAGTGAGGGATATGCTTCCGTGAGACCAACCAAGTGCTGGCGGATTAACCACTTGACATCCTCCGCGTACGGCAGCGCCGACGGACCCCGCTGCGAGAGGACGCTACTAAGGAACTGTTGCGTGTATTGAGCCATTGAATATGCAAAAGGGGAATAAAATCTGTATCAATATGTGTATGTATACGTCTGGTTATTCAAATCTAATGAAGACGATTTACTTGGAGAAGGAGAGGATTACAGTGTTAAGAAATTGAAAACGAATTGATAATGATCGACTCGCCCGACTGGGTGGCCGGTTTAATATTCGTGGAACTGGAAATTGGGGACGACCGGTTTGGTTTACGCGTCCGGCTTTTGAGAGAGATGAATACTTAGACTCTATTTGAGCTTCATTATTTTCTCATTAAAATGAAAAATATGATCATTATTTATCACATTAAGTCATTATATTTAATTTTTTATCTTTTGTATGGAGTTCATAAAGACTATATTTTTCATTTTCATTTTTACAATAATGTGGTTCAAACGGGGGCTTAACCTTTTGTAAATGTGTCACTCATATCCACAACTTATCATTTATTACATTTGTATTCGCAATAGTTTGAAGTCGTGCACACGTGTTCCCATTTAACTCCTATTTGATTATCATTATTCAGAAAAATGAAGTTACATCAAATTGTACCAGATTTAGTGTAACCATCGAAGATGCTCTTAGATTGATGAGAACGTATAGACATAGTGCTAATCATGAAATAAACCATATCAAATAAATTTGTTTACCACAATTTTCTAATCTATTTCACTACTCTATACATATACACTGATTGAAAAGTATTTTTGATAAATACTATACACCCGTTTTACAAATATATTCAATTAAGTCCCTATTTAAAGACCATTATTGAGAGAAAATAATTTTTTGAATATTGATTTTTTAGAAAATGTGTAGTTAAGAGTTAAGGAAAAATTTTAGATTTATATACAAAATATTTTATTATATGAATATGAGATTGAAAAGAGCATGATAATTAAATAGTTTTGCTTTAAAGTGAAACAAATAGACACTAAATATGATATAAATGTTCACCACACTCTCTCTCTCTTTCTCTCTCTCTCTTAGTGAATAGAGTAAAATGAATTTGAAAAGGTGAAGGTGGTGGTGGTGGTGGTGGTGGGTTGGATGTGGAAGTGGTGGCTGGTTGGAAGTAGTGGTGGTGGTGTGTGTGGCGAAGGTAGAGGTGATGGTGGATTTGAGGAGGTGGTGTTGGTGATTGTTGGTGCATGTGGTGGTGGTGAGGTGACGGTGTCATTTCGGTGGCGTCAATGGTGTGGAGTGGGTTGGGGTGAAATGAAGAGGGTTTGTGGTCAATTATTTGAGTAGTTGAACCAATAAAAGGGAGAATTTAAAATCCATAAATAATTTGTTATTTAAACAAATATATGATCTGTGAATAAATTTCTAATTTTGACCCACAATTTGTGTATTGTGACTGTGATCTTACGCACTATGTAAGCAGTACTTGTTTGTGCTTATAAAGTGTATGTTATTCTGAACTTGACTTGTTTAATCAATTATTAAGTAAAAATTTTGCTTTTAGGTAACCACACTGATTTTTGAAAATTTTCACAATTTTCTTATTTTAGAAAGTGAATTTGAATCCTTTGTAATTATGTACTTTTTCCTTCATATTTTTGACCATTTGGGTGGCTAAATGCTTACATAAAGTGACCAACGAGGCATCATATTTTGGCCCATGGAGTGAGCCTAAGCAACCCATTGACCAAGTCGATGAAAGGCTCGACCTGTTTGAATTCTAGACATGGCTATAAAAAATTTGTTGCAGACTTGTGCACTACATTCTGTTTCGCACGAGTTCGTCGCTAACAATTAAAAAGGGATCAGACAATTGTGTAAGGGACAAACCTCTTGAGACAAAGTCTCAAAAAGGGGTGTTCTTTATTAGCGGTGACTTTACAATCGGAAATTAAAAACAGAATGCCTCCAAGAGACGCAAGTACACGAGTTACTGAAAGAAGTGTTTAAATCTAAACTAAGAAATTTAAAATTACATGTTCTCTATTCGAGAGTTTTTTTGATTCGGTCCTTTTGCTCTATGTCTTTCCTTCCTTTTATACTCTCTTGATGATCTCTTTGTGATCAACCGCCTAAAAACTGCTGGATCGTTCTATAACTGCCCACTTTCCTCGTAATGGCCAACTTGTCACGGAAATACCTTTTCTAACTGCTGCCATTACTCTTTGTCGTTCAACCGTCTTCAATTAAGTTCATTGAATTGTGGAACGTGATAGGGCTTCTTTAATATCTGCACTTCTTAATAACCACAACACTTCATGTTTGCTAAGACCTTGGGCGACTCGAAAGTTTGGTCGAGAATAGAGTAACAGCTCTGGGCGACTGCATGGCACTCAATTCGCTCAGATCCTGGGCGACTTGCAAGCTTGGGCGATGGTGCTACCGCGTTCCTGGGCCTCCCTATTTGGGCCTTCATCTTGAATTGTCTGATTGGGTTTCGTTCTTTGGGCTATCTGATTTGAGAATCCTCCAATTCGGCTTCATTCCTTGGGCCGTTCGATTTGGGCTGAATTTTTATGTGTCAACAATTACCCCCCAATATGGCAGAATTAATACCAATTATTAAATTTTGCCATATTCACTTTGTGTTTCCAGCAACATTCGAAATTCCCAAGAATTTCAATCATTGTTTTCTTCCATAGCTTGAAAAGGTGCAACGTTTTACAAACCCTTATAACCCCCAAACACGTCATTTCACTGCACCATTAAATCACGCCTCACTTTTTCGCGTTTCTCTCCCACGATTTACTGTTCATCTCTTTGCTTCCCTGCTATGTATGCTTTGCACTTTCCATCTTCCATCTTCATTTTCATTCTCTTCTTCGAAACCAATTTGCTGCCATTGTTTGACATTCTGATAATCAATCCAAAACTTTCGTCTTCTATAAAAATGGATTGTTTGGTCCGCCCATTTTACTACTTGTCTTGATGTCACCTTTGGTATGGGAGATATAGAAAATATTTTTTTTGGCCAGCAGCAAAGTTTTTCCCATCAAAGTTCTTCCCATAGTCTCTTTGTTCTTTACAAGGGGTTCAATAATAGAAGGCAATTTTTGGAATGCTTGCGGGCCACCTTGCTTGCTGAGAGTGCTTCTCAGCCTCTTTGCCCGCCATTGCAGCGATGCATTTAGGAAGGCAGTGCGAGGCCAGTCTACCCTCTTACTCGACGATCGATCGGGAGATTAGCTTACTTTTAATTGTAGTTTGTAGAGCATCCATTATTTGTAGTTTGCATCTTTGTAATGAACGTTTGATAATAAAGAACTTTATTTGAACGTATTTCGCTCTGACCTTATTATCCTTAATCGTTCAACATGTTTTGATTACGCTTTTATCTGTTCACTTCCCCCATAAAGAAAGAACATATTTTTTTTTAAATATTTGTCGTTAATGAATCTCACGTGCTTGGTGCCATCTAAATCTTCCAAATGATATGCTCCATTGGGCAACACACTGTTTACTTTGTATGGTCCTTCTCAATTGGGCGACCCTTCCCGTACTTTGGGTCCTTGCTATCCAAAGGGAGTATCGTCTTCCAAACTAATTCGTCAAGGCTGAACGACTTGGCTATGACTTTTTTATTATAAAACTTAGCCATTCTTTGTTTTTGAACTTACAATCTATCTAAGACGTCCAACTTTAATTCGTCTAACCTCAATAAATTTTGAACTAGTGCTTCAATATACTCATCATCATTTAACTTATATTGCAAGCACACTCTAATCGATTGCACGTTGATTTCCATAGGCAAAACAGCCTCATGTCCATAAGTAAGTTGGAAAGGAGAAATTTTGGTACTTGACCGAGGTGATGTTCTATAAGCCCACAAGGCTTTATTCAGACATTCATGCCAATTTCTGGCATTTTCATCTATCATCTTTCTGATTATATTTTTTAGAATCTTATTAGAAGATTCTGCTTGTCTGTTGGATTGAGCGTAATATGATGTGGAGTTTACTAATTTAACCCCAACCTCGCTCAAAAACTTGTTCACTTAATCACCATTCAAAGATGTTCCGTGATCTACCATCAACATTTGTAGAATTCCAAACCTATAAATGAGTGATCACGGATAAACTCTATGACATTCTTTTAGATGATCTCTTTCAAAGGTACCGCCTCTATCCACTTGGTGAAATAGTCGATTGCAACTATAACAAAAGTATGTTGCTTGGACGATGGGGGATAAATCTTCCCTATCAGGTCTATCGCCCAACCCTTAAACGACCAAGGTTTAATAAAATGTGTCATCTCTCGTACTGGCGCCCTTTGTATTGGGTCATGCTTTTGGCATGCTAAACAACTCTTTGCATACTGAACGCATAATTCTTCCATCTTTGGCAAAAAATATACACTCCTAATAATTAACAATCTCATCCTTTGGCCAGCTTAATGAGCTCCACATATCCCTTCATGCACTTCAACTATGATCGTCTTGACTTCTTGCAAACTTACACACTTTAGCAATACACCATCAGAGCGTTTTTTAAACAACTCTTTATCTATTAGTGTATAGTTCAGCAGACACAGCTTCATTTTCCTACTAATCCCTCCATTAGGTTCTTTAAGGAACCTTTTAATCTCTGTTCTCCAATCCATTGCATCTCTATCTTGTATGCAGTGAAGTTCAATCCTTCTCGCCCTTCTTTAAGTCACGGGCAATATGGTTCCATACTCACAAGTAGACTTCCAATTCAAAACCTATGAGTACCCTGAAGCTATTTGGGCCAACTCATTTGCCACGTCGTTATATATCCTATTAACGCATTGAAGTTCTACTTGGTCGAATTCTTCTAACAATTTTTGGGCGATCTCATATTGACTTATAATGGAATCACTTTGGCATTTAAAATCACCAATCAATTGGTGAATTACCAATTGAGAATCGCCCGTAATGATCACACTTTTTACTCCCATATCTATCATTAGTTCTAGGCCCACGATTAAAGCTTCATATTCGGCCTGATTGTTGATGCACATTCTGTCTAAAGTGAATGCGAACTTGTAGCAAATCCCTAAAGGATTAATCAATGCTACTCCTACTCCTGCACCTTTAGAGGTTTTTGACCCATCGAAATACAACACCCAAGGTTTTAGCTCGAACGAATTGATTTCTAATTCAATTTTTTCAGGCATGTCAAGGCATGGATGATCTGCTAGAAAGTTAGCCAAAGCCTGATTTTTTACTGCCTTTTGAGGTATATATTGTATCTCGAATTCCGATAAAGCTAATGTCCAAAGGCCTACCCTTTGG